TAGTTACCAAGCGTTCTCCCCTTCCTTATCGTGTAGCAGCGGTGTAAGAGGAATATCGTTTTGACCAGAAATGTGGCCTCCAGGAGTTACCGACTTTGAGAAATTATCCAACTGCAACAACATCCAATATTGCAAAATTTGTTAACACTTGACATAAACATGATTTCAAAACAAAATTCTCTGACGCTGCCACCTCACAGCAAGTATGTATGATTTTCGCAAAGTCAAATAAAACGGGGAGACCTAACAATCACAAAGATAACTCTAAATATGCGGACCCCGTGATCAAGAAATTCACGAACTTCGGGCTGTGGCACTTCAATGTTATTCATTGCTTCATCTTCCATATGCTAGAAAAAAGAATTTTAGAGGACTAAAATATGATAAGCTTGTTTTCTCACCACTTCGAAAAATTGCTCAACTCGCTGCAATACATATTGAAATTCTCTGGTTTCGTTGAGATTTTTCCTGAGATGGCTATCATTCTTGTTGAGACCAACGAAGTCATGTTCCAGTTCGTTTAACACTGCCTGTATGTATTACACCGCTGATATACGTAGCATTTGTGTAAGGTACCTCTAAGTGATTGATCTCGACTTGTGAAGGGGTTTCAATTGTTGTGGCGTCTATAGGTTGCAGCTGAATTCCTGGTACACACTCCACTACCTGGCGCTCCAGAAATCCTAAACTTAAGCGTAAAGTAAGCACTTTCTATTAGAACCATAAAAATTCAGTGGTCAGAAATCGAATATACCTACTTAGTTTTCTTTCCAGTTCCTCGCATCTTTTGACCTCCCTCACGAATGTGCGTTGGAATATATTCTTATTTGCATTTAACTGAAAAACTCTAGAAGTTACCTTTCCAAGTGTTACAGTTTCATTTGAAGAGTTAACAGAATGTGTGAAACATGAAGATATCAATCATCGAAAATGCTGAAGACTTCAAAGTACAGTATGTTCCGCCCCTAGGTCCAAAGCGCGTGCTACTCAATCAAAAGGAAATAGAAAAGAGCGTGGCTTTACGCGAAACGTACATGCTATGTAAAATTTGTGCAACAAAAACCATCTATTTCTAATGAACAGTAAAAGTGAGCGGAATATTCTGAACTGAATTTTTTGGCACCTCCTAGGGGAATAAATGAATGGTCGTTTTTTATTGAAATCCAGCAGGTAGGTATAAACACTGTTTTCGGCTATCTTCAGCCTTATACACGAGAGTTTATGAAGTAGGGAAAAAATGGACATTATAAAAAACTAAGCCGGACATAGGACTATGAATTGATAGTCTGATTATAGAAGAGAAACAGCTGTGATTGGCATGTCCTGATTTAGTGTAAGAGCGGAGTAAGCGCCTTTTATTGAATTAACTGGCGCACGCGCCTCCGTCTGACCTTCCACAATACAAAAGAAAAATTCCAATGAAGGTACAAGGATTGAGCCAGGCGCTTATGTGTTTAGGATTATGTTCTGAGTTGCCGTATGAAAAATAGTCTATCCATGATTGCAAGGCTGCAGATGGTTTTGCTGTTTCTGCACAAAGGTGTCAATTACCATATTGAACATAGGAGGGAAAGAGAAGGTGGAAAACACGGGTGTCTTGATCTCGAGATAATTAAAAGCACAAAGCATTGCACTCAGCAATAACTAAAAGAGATAGAAATGAAAACTAAGCTCACATCATTGAATTGCACATTTCCATACTTTCCTATTTCACCAATGCAGTGGTAGGCAGCGTGCTTTACGAGAATCATCTCACAAAGCTTCATGGGTTCACTGCGATATAAGCTACCCATTTTTGCCGAGAAGGGCTCGGTCGTGTGGATATAAGACCGGGAAGTTGATTGCTGAAATCTTGCACATAAATCTGAGTTAATGATAAAGAAAAACTTAGAAAAGAGGACCCAGGCCTGTGGTAATCAGTGACTATTTTTTTGCATGTGAACAAAATCAAAAGGTATTGGAATTTTCCCTTTATTAAAAGGCAACGATATCCTTCTCAATACTCATACTACATGGTACTCAGTGCTATTTTAAGAGTCGAGCCAAAGAGATGAAGATCTAAGAGATGTCATGCCATGTGCATGAAGTGCAAGTTTGAATGGAAGCCAGAACGATTTTTGCGAGTGTAAAATGTCGGACAATTTGATGTACCAAAGCCGTATGAGAAATA